AATGATTCTTAGGTTATAGAGCCAATCTGTGTAATTTAGACCAGTGAGATGGTTGACATCAAGTCTGCACATAAGAGATTTGAAAGTGACATTTTCTGAAATTAAAGATACAATAGAAATAAATAATATGTAGATTTTATAAAAAATAAATAATCAAGTTATGTACTTCTATCTTAATCTATTCCCACTATTTTCTTGTAAATTACATAATTCCCTCCGGTATATGAATCGGAGACCCCCAATGGATCTCTAGTGGGGATCGAGATCCAATCGGTGTCTTAGTGTAATCTCAAGGGACTCGACCAATCACACTTAGCCCAAAAGACAGGCAACTCTTATCGATCACAACTCCTTGTGATTCCCGTCTTGTTCGGCCTCTGAACGATTATGACCTCGAAGGACTCGACCAACCATGATATTCAGTTAAGCCATTACCATTGTTACAAGATGAGTTTGATTCGACAATGTGCCCTCGAGGGACTCGACTAAGCATGCTATGTCTTCAAGTCACCGGTGACATCTCTATGTTATAGGCAAGATCTAGAATCGTAATATAGGTGAGCCTCAAGGAATCCCTAGCTGTAGGGGCTCTACCCTACTCAAGCCGAGAATAGCATGGTTGCTCTCAGTCTGCTACAGGTGGCCAAGCCAAGAGCTCCCTTGAGAGCTCTCAGCCAAGGCTGGTTTGGCCGAACTATAGGGCAGCAATAATTGCTGCCATTTTCTGCCCTTTTGCGTCAACTATTTTGATGTCAAAAGAAATCCCTTAAATACCTCTCAATAGCAAGAAAAAGAGTACAGTCCATATTTTAAAACTATGACAAAAATCACAACAATCATGCAAAAATAATTCTACGCAATTCAACACAGCACACGCAGTTTAAAAGCCAATCTTTCATATTAACAACCTAGCTTTGATATCACTATTGGGAAACTTGGGGTAGCATCACATGCACAGTAGAAGAACAAAAAATAAAAATCTCATATTTTCTACAAAAAAAGTTTCTCATCATCGTGCAAAGATTGATGCGCAAAAACTCGTAGAATAAAAAACTATGCATATGTAAAAGATATGTTATCTAGGAAAATTGTATATCCCTGAAAACTTATAGACCTATGGGAGGGGATGAAGGAGATCAACTATCCTCTTCTTTAGTGGTGATCCATATGGTATATGTGGCAAAGACGCTCCTCAAATCGCTACATGATCCTTCTCTCTATGTGCACATCAAGAAGGGGTCGACCCTTCTTGCTATCCACACCCCACTTAACTGGGGCTATCTATTGGGTACTGGATCTCCATCAACTATCCAAGCCTATTAGATTAGTAGATCTCTACCCAATAATCTCTCATCGGCTCTTATTGGATCTTATCCACAAGATCCAATAATTCAATGACTTATTGGATATCTAATAAGATAGGGGCTCCAGTAGATATCTTATATCTGAACCTCTACTTGTCATAATACCTATCATATGTGTGTGACCCTCTAGGTCCAATATCGAGCTGGCCATGAGTCATACCTATTATAACTTCTTCCGACTCAATGAATTATTATCTCAATAATAATTCACTCGACTCATCGATTATGGACGTACTAGGCCACTACGCTACAATCCTCGGATGATATAGGGGAATTCAATCCACTAGACCTATTTATCCTCAATTATTATGTATCTATAGTCCATCATCCATCTAATATCTCAAATACCATATATAGTTTCTACTTGACTCTTGCTCTAATCGGATTCTCCCGAAGAACTCTTTCTCTCTCAATCCGAATGACCATAGCTAGGGATCTACATGAGCAAGAATATATAAGATATTTCTCTTATGACACCGAGAGCGGATGATCCTCTATCGACACTCAATTACCCTCGTAAGATTGGCTGCCACTCCTGATGATCGGCTGTGCTAGATTTGAAACTTTCAAGCCTATAAGTCCAGTGTCAAAGAGTGGAGTACTCATATAGAATATCCTTGATATCTTAAGTCTAATAACCAAATACACCATTGGGACGATGAAATCATTATCTGACTATGAAGTATCATCAATCATCTAGCATTCATTAAGCGAATCGATCAGTGAACTCATTCTTCAATAAGCACCTGTATTGAACCCCTAATGTCTCCACACGAGTAGCTATAAAACCAACCATCTCTATCATATGGATGGGTATATAGCATACCAATCTATCCGGTTATCTTGATATTTCTCTCGAGTAACCTATAATTAAGATTATTTAGTGTATGTATTTAAAGACGAATCGATCTTATTATCATGATCTTATCACGATCCCGTTCTTATTGCACAGATCCATAAATATCATAATATATACAACAAACATCATAAAGTGAAAAAAATTTAAATAAATAATAAATAAAAAGAGTAGCATATGTATAATCACTCACGTGATTGATTTGTAGGGTACCTATAACTAACAAACAAATTATTGAGTCATGCTTATAAAAGACCTTGATAATACCACATACGTGAGACTTTAAAATAATCATTATTCTCTTGCCAGGAGAGCACATTGGTCGAGAAGGGGCCTTCGGAAATGAGGAATGTAGTGATAGACACTTCTTTGGGGTGATGGCCAAAAGTTACAGTCCTATATCAAAGGACTTCTTTGGGGTGGGGGAACTCCAAGTGGATGTGACGATGGACGGCCAAGGAATGGAATACGCAACAAATGGTAATGTATAGTACAACTCAAGAGGAATGACTAGATCTATCAGAGATTTACTTCAATAAAAAAAAAAAAACTCCTACAAGAAAACACTTTCTACGTTATAGAAGTGCAAGTCAAAAATGATGGTGAAGTCAAGTAGCTAGTGCATTGCTAAAGAGTGTATCTTAAGGAGGAAGGCAAAATTTTCCCATAACATTAGTCTCCTCAACTTTTGAACGAAACTAAGTATCTCATTCTCTTGGATATTTAACAAAGTAGCTTTGTTAATTCCCTTAAGGTTTCTACAAAGGGTACTTAGAAGAAGAAGATAACAATTTTTAAATTTTTACTAGTAATGATCGATTCTACTTAAAATAGTTTATCTACTTTATCTTATAATAGAGGGACGTTGAAAAGTAGAGGTGAAGCGAACTTATTTGGAGTCATTGCTAGTCAAATATGAAACTATTGGGCAAATTTTGTAAATGAGAATGCCTTCAAATTTTTACATTATATATAAGATAGTGCTTATTAAAGCTCTAATAATTATGTATTTAATACAAATATTCTAAAGGACTAGCAAGTAACAATGAAAGTAATCTTATTTCATTGAAAGGATATATAGAAACCGGATAAGATCATTATAACTTGATTGACCCTATATCAGAATTAGAGTCATTGATAAGTTAAAGATTGATACCATTCAATTATTGTGTCAACAGACTAGCGAGGAGTTAGGAGGTGCATTATCGCCAAAGGAAAACTAAAGATGAAATAAGCGAGGAGTTGGAGTGTTTATAAATTGTTCGACAAGAATATTAAAGGTATAAGTGAAAGAGAATGTTATTGACTCTTTATGCAAGCTCCTAATGACGGAAGACTCGTATTAGCAAGTGGTACTTGAGTATTGGAACTTTGTGCACAACAAACTAACCTTGGTACCCTTTCTCGTGCAATAGTTTTGACCATGCAAAATACATCCATTTCACTTGTCAAACAAAATATTTTCTTGATTATGCTTGCATGATAGTTATGCTTTGGTATTGCAACAAGTGTTTTATTCACTAATCTTTCTCTTCTATAGGTCTGTATTGGATGTTGCAAGGTTACGAAGAGACTAACCTTTTGTAGATAAAATAGACTAGCGCTTTGTAAATAAAAGAGGCTAATCCTTTATGGATAATATGTCTTAAGACAAAATCAACTAACTTCATGCTAGTGTGATGCTCAAGCCTAGGGCGTAAAGGTATTTAAAACTTCAACACATCCAAGATAAAAAAACTTTGAAGCGCTAGACATAGGCAACCAAATTCAGAACATCTCTCTTACGCATGATGGATCTTCCCATTGTAAAAAAACAAAACAAAACACTACTTAATCATTAGGAATAGTGATCAAGGTCTTTAAATGAATATTATTTTCGATCAATCCGAACGTCACACTTAAAATTCAATCAATACCTATTAGACATTGAACATCAACTATCAAAGATGACAAAGGCCTTTGGACATGCTACCTCAGCATCATGACACTTAAAAAGAATATTCTCTCATTAAATTTGTAATTACATGGTTGACACTATATAAATTTTAGGTATTTCTATAATCCAAACTTACAAAAGAAAATAATGACTTTCTTAAAGAATTTTAATGTCCTCAACGAATAAACGAGTACGATCGCTAGAGAGATTTTTGCATACGCACACTCGATATAATCTTTGATTGAAACAAAATATCGGATACATGTATTTTCTAACTTTAAGTGAAATAAGATAGATCAGATCAATTTCACCAAGTGAAATTAGTGACCAAATTTGATCGTATCAAATTAGTAGGCATCCAATACGATAACATTAATATATCTAAAATTTTGATTCAGGGGATATTACCATTATTTAGTATCAAAAAATAATTTTATTAAATAAAAAATAATAATCTTGTTAATTAATATGGTCAAGTTCGACTAATAATTGAATATGATACGTTCACAAATACCTAATATTCTAGGTCGGATTGCTTATTGGATTCATATAGATCCAATCCGATACCATTGTATAGATCCAAAATTTTTATTCAGGAGTTATTACCAAAAAAATATTTCTTCTTATTATTTATATTTTAATTTGGAAGCTTAAGTATTTCCAAAAAAAATAATTTGTAATTTTATTTGGGCATTTGCTGTTTTGGATTTCCGATACTATTATAGACTTATATCCAAAAAATTCCTATATAGTTAGTTCTTTATATGTGCCCGCCATCGCTTTCGCCGTTTACCGTCCGTCGCCGCGCTCCCCGCCCTCTCTTACTCTGGTAGCTCACGGCGACGCCGACGGTAACCACCCCACACCAATGGCTCCATCCACAGAGATCGACCCCGAGAACGCCCCGACGAGCGCCGCGCCTTCCGCTACCAAACCCGCCGCGGTGGCGTTGGCCGTGTTAGCCTGGTGGAGGGGGAAGGGCCTGTTGGAAAGGAGCGCTGTGGTGCTCCGTCCCCTCGCTCTCGTCTTCTCGCTCTTCGCCTTCGTAGTCTGTGCCTCCAACAGGCACGGCGACTGGAAGAACTTCGAGCGCTACGAGGAGTACAGGTGCCGCTTCCGACCTGGCCCATCTCGGACGGGGTCGGCCTGGGTTTATGGTTTCGTGTTGAACTGATAGGAGCTGGGTTTCTTGGTGTTGCAGGTACCTGTTGGCGATCTCCATACTCGCGTTCTTGTACTCGGTTTTTCAGGTGTCGAAGCCGGCGTACCGTTTCAGCACCGGCATTGATTTGGTGCCCAAAAACTATTCGGGAATCGTCGATTTCGCCGGAGATCAGGTTGGTGGTTCTATTCCTATTCGATACAATAAGTCATTGATGGTTTGGGATTAGGAATTCTTTCTTTCTTATACTGGAAAATCCCTCCTGAATCTAATTGAACCAAACCTACTATTATCTACACTCATATAATTGATTGAATTGCTTATACGATTCAATGTCATTCGTGAATTAAAGGGAAAACAATAATTAAATTTATGAAATCTATATGACTCCTACCCATCTTTGACTAGATCAGGTTATATAAATTGGTTGTGGAATTTTAAAAGAAATATGCATGCAAGGCCTTGGAATTTTGGTTGGAGGTCTGAAGTGATATCTATGAATCAATGTCTACAAGCCGATGGTTAAGACTGCGGATGAGTTTCTTTACATATTGCGGACACAAGAATCACAAAACAGGCCCGCTGTTCTTTGTATATTTGATTTTAGTTTTGAAAGTGGAAAGACACGACATCACTCTAATAAGCTATTTTTATTTTATAGAGAAAGAACCAAAACACTCTAATAGGGTGTTTGCAAGCTTCCTGTATAATTCTTTTGTAGCCTTATGTTTTCTTATGTAAGAAACTCATTCTAATTCTTTGGTAATTTCAGTATCGGAACTGCAAACTTTCCACCAATCAAATGATTCTTAGTTGTTCTTATTGTACCAAAGGAAGAATGAATGTGATACATGGGAGGATGAATGATCGAATGACTTTTTTTTGTACAGATATAAATGCATGGATGAATAAATTGCTTAATTATTTGTCAAAGCAATCAATAGGAAACATCTTATTTAGATAATAACATACTGTGGGATCCCTAGATACCATCATGTTAATAATTCCCTGCAATCAATCCTCAATTGGAAAACCTTTGGTAGACCAAGTCTGCCACACGTGGTAAATCTAGCCAATAGGGTTTCAGAAACAATGAAAGACAGGTCCTTGGATTTTTGCCAAGTCTATCTTTATGGTTTAGATCCAAGTTGTACATGCTAGACTTGATCCATCGAACAATCATTACAGAGTAGGAAATCAGGTTTGTCATGCACGCACACACAAAAATTGAAATGCAATTTGGGCTTAGAGGCCTTTTTTTTTTTAATAATAAAAACCCTTGAGATTTCACATACGGTGAGTCCTCAAAATCCAGCATGAATTTTGACGAATTCATAAAACTCATCTTCCCGCTATGCCCGTGCCAGACAGCAGAGAACAAGTTTTGACAATTAGATATGGGATGGTTTGTTCCTTCCCAATGACAAGCTATTGGGTAAGTTTATGGAAGTTTTGCAAGTGAAAATGTCACTATAATGCCTTTTGTTGACTATATTACTTGTATGTTTTATATATCATGTTTGGTGTTCTTATTTTCTTTATACATGTGGGTTGCTAGTTTGATGGATTTACGATTTCTTATGTAAGAGAACTAATAGTTAAACTGAAGATGATCTTCTGAAGTTTTCATTGTAAGACGATGAGGTGTCGGAAAAAAACATTTAGTTTGATTTAGTAGTGCACCAAACACATTCTCAGTGTAATTGTGTTTCCTTAAAGATTAAAACTGCATCCCGAATTAGATGAACACGGTCAAATAGTGAGCGCACAGCCAAGAATCTCTGAAAAATTTTCTACCTAGCATCATGACAAACAGTAGTAAAGTTATTTTAGTGTGTCGCTCCTGTTTTATTTGAGATTCTATAACTAGGACATATTGTTTTATTAGGTGACGGCATACCTGTTGATCTCGGCACTGTCTGCGGCAATTCCCGTTACTAATAGCATGAGAGGAGGAGCAGATAACATATTTACGGATGCTTCGTGTGCTTCGATTATCTTGGCCTTCTTTGCATTTGTGTCGATCGCACTATCTGCTTTGATATCTGGGTTCAAGCTCTCTAAACAAATCTAACCATAGACATACTCCCTTGATGTGAACATCCTTGTAGTCCCTTGTGCTTGTGTCATATGTTTCTCATGGAGTGCCACACATGATGCTTCATTCTAGCACCAGTGTGTAATTATTTAAAGATTATTGTTTGAGAATAAAAAGTGAACAAGGATTGGACATTTTCTTTCTGTTTTGATTATTTTTGTAATTTCACCAGTGTGTAATGTTTGTAAATATAGTAATACCAATTTTCAATATTCTAATGAAACCGGTTCCACCCTACCAGGAATTGAATGTACATAGAGATATTTTTCATCTGATCAGGTTTTCTTATTGCTGTGAAAGTATAGCATGTTTTTTTCGAAAGGGTAATTGGGTAGGTAATTTTGCGAGAGCAAATAGCAACAGTTCTTTTGTGGCAAGGAAACTTTCCATGTGAATTTTGTATTATATTGTCCTCGGATGTTGAGTAGAACTCTTGTGTTTGTATTGCTCGTTAATTATGTTTCCTGGTAAAAGAAAATATTTTAATGCTAAGCGATGCATCTATTGATATAAAAACCTCATACCTCTTCACATCTCACATGTGTACGATAAAATCATATCATCGAAAACATAAAACTGGCCCCGTAGCTCAGATTATAATATAAATGTGGTGTATGTTTCGCCCTTCTTCCGATAAATAGGTTTTCTGTGACACGGAAACTTTCCTTGTGAATTTTATATTATATTATCCTCGGATGATGAGTAGAACTCTTGTATTTGTATTGCTCGTTAATTAAGTTTCCTTGCAAAAGAAATCATATATATAGGTCAAAACCTCAAACCTCATACCTAGTCACATCTCACACGATAAAATCATATATATATATATATATATATATATATATATATATATATATATATATATATATATGTATGTATGTATGTATGTATGTATGTAT